TTTTTAAATATTTTTATTGTAGAAACAGAACCGTTTACGTGGTAGAGCCATGCAGCAGCTATATTAGTAGTATAGTTGTAGCAAGAATGGGTCGGCTCGACCGGGGAAGGACCATGCTCTCACAGAATACCAACGTGAAATAGCAACTTAACATTGCTGTGTTTCGTATGGTGAGTGTAGAGACCGTTTTTACTGGAAAAGAGGCATTCCATCTTAGTCCTCACGGGTGACAACGCATCTGCATTTTGATTGGCAAACGAGGATAGATGTAGATGTCTATGGGCCACAGCAAACACTTACCGTCAGGTGGACTGTGTGCTCGTTTGTCACCCTATCCTATAAAAAAAAACCTAAGTCGTCCCGATTAATATCTAATATAGTTTTTTAGTATATCCAACAATTACCATAAATAACTGCCTATTTTGTCTTATGGTCGCAAGCGCTACTGCCAATTATGTGCTCACGGGTTTGAATCGAGAGGACCAAATCAGTTATTGGATTTTTCTGTCAAGAAATTCCCAGAAGCAGCCTGAAGTCAGGAAGTTAGCAGTGTTTAATCCCCGTGCCTTGGAAAGTAATAAAGCCGTTGGTCTTGCGTCTGTTCAATTTCCGGTCGTGTCGGATTACTGTCCCGTCCCATCGAACTATGGTAGTGAGTTCTATTCCCTCACTACCATTGTTCGTGTGCACACTTGTGCTTGTGCACAACATGTACTATTAACTCTGTCCGACGCCGATTGGTAGTCTCCGTTGAGACTAGCTGCCGTAATCTAATTTCGGTCTAGAGGACATTACCACAAATAAAGGTTCAAAAATCTATTCGCATGAAATATATTACAATTAAACTCAAAGTCACCAACTATGTTTGATCAACTAGCGAGAACTTTGCAGTGAAGGACCTTTTATTGTTTTAATCTTACCGCATCTAACCCAACATATTTCGCAAGTTTTATTATACACGTTTCATTACTTATGCAATCAAGTGTAATAAATAACTTTTAACAATTGTATTAGAAAACTATGACTTTTACAGCAAAATTAAAAACTATTTAAAATATTAAAACAAATATAAACGTAACCTTTCTGATACCTATTTGGTTTGACAATGTTATTGATAGACAAATGAAATCGGTGAAGTACCTCTTTATGAGGGTAAAGATTTAAATCAGTACCTACTCGTTTTGTACATTTATTTTTAGTATGGAATTATCGCACTAAGGAACAATAACTTAAGCTTATTTTTTATTATCGTTAATCGATTTAAGTAATTGTAAAAAAAAATAGTATTTTATTCGTCACTAAACTTTTAATTTATTTAGAATTAATGTGTTATTTTAATATTATAAAAATAAATAATTTAAAATTAAAAATTTAACTATTGGTCTGACCTTGATCAAATTAGTACCAGTAAGTACCAGATTTCAAATAAAAAAAGAATCATCGAAATCGGTTCAACCAGTAAAAAGTTATGAGGTAACACATAAAAAAAAACAGACAGTCGAATTGAGTACCGTCTCCTTTTTGGAAGTCGGCAGAAAAGGGCTTTATACTTCTCATTTTTAATTCAATATTTTTTTGTTTCTCATTAATTTAGCGACTCATAGGGTTATTTATTGCTACTGCGTTTCGTGTGGAGAGTGTAGAGAACCGGAGACCCCTTTTCAATGGAAACGAGGTATTCAATCTTAGTCCTCAGGGGTAACAACAACGCATCTGCATTTTGATTCTTAATCGAAGATAAATGTAGATAATAGGTAAATGTCTAAGGGACACAGCAACCACTTACCATAGGGTGAACTGTGTGCTCGTTTCTTAACCCTATCCTATAAAAACTTGCCATAGTTGCCACGCTTGGCAAACGGGTTGGCAACCAATAATATGCATAAAAAAGGAATAACAGAGGAAGTCGAATAAATAGTTGTCTATTTATGTAGGAAATGATATATAAAGTATATAAATATGCAAACGTTAGAGAATGACAAACTATGTCTATTTTCTGTTAGGCAAAGACCATTACTATCAAGTATCAGTTTAAGTTCGAAATTATGTTTTGCTTGTTATTGTTTGCGTAGTTTGTTTGAAGCTCGTCGCATTTTGTTTGTAATCTAAATATTATATTATATACATAAAATTAAAGTGTATATATGTAATATCGAAATCACTGACTCCTATTAGGCTCAAGGGGTTATTTTTACGTGCTGTGAAGACCCGAATAAGCATTTTTTTTTAATTTTTGTCTGTCAGAATGGCTGGACCGATTGTCCATACAGACAACATAAAAAGCAGTGCCAGAAGTGATTTAGGCTATATTTTAACCAAAAAAAAAACATTCAGGATATTTTCATAAAATAGAAAAACTGATAAAATTGTTTTTAATGATTAAGTATCTCATAAACCTTAAAAGATATAAAAAAGCTTCATAAACTTTTTGTCTTGCATTTTTACATAAAAAAAGATCCAAACACGGAAAAGATTGCGTATTACTGCTGAGATACAATTGGTACTTACTTAAAATACAGTTAGGTATTCGTTGTACCAATAAAATATTGAAGACTCTTTTACGTAGAATTGTACCAAATTTATTTATCAGAATCTCTTCCTCAGTTGCCAGGTCATCAATTCTATTAAAAATATCCACTGAGTAATAGATGTAAAATGTTTTGTTTAACGTCATTTGTCATCGAATGGACCCATCTGTCGAATAACTGGTTATATCTGGTCGTCAAAAGGTATTCAATTCAATTATTCCTCAGGTAGTCGAGTTATTCATCAAATAAAGATATCGGACGATTGAAAAATTCAATTGTTTGCTGTCTGTAGAGTAAACGCTATCTTTTTATCTAAGGATTGACAAATCGGCCCAAGTGCCGATTTTTCAATCATGAGATAAAAGTTATTTATTATAGGATAAAATACCACTACAAATAAAAAAAAACTGTTATGTTAATAAAATAAATCCAGTTGTCTCACTTTTATATTCAGTCTGGTGATAAATTATTTGATGGATAACTTTTATGTGTCGATTAAAACTCAGCTTTAAGCAATCATTGCCGCTTATAATTAAACCATAAATGATAAGTCACTCGTAATCGAGTTTTTGAGTTGGCTATTTACTGCAAATAATTTCCATCTAAAAGATGTAGTGATCAAAGACAGGGAAAGTTTCGAGGAAAATACGTTCTTACCGTGTAGTGGCGGTGTAAAAGTATCCACTTTCAAAAGAGGTGGGTGACAAAGGGAAACTGAAACAGGAGTTTAACCAACAGCATCGTCCTTATAACAACTCAAAATAAACAATGAACTGCGGTTGCCAACATGTCTGCCAAGTGTGGCAACTATGGAAAATTGACGCAATCTATAGGGCCTACATTCATCAGTCTTTTATAGGCTGTTATGGATTATGTTATTAATGGCAGTATTAATATGTTAAAGAAAGTTAAACTAATTGACGAACGTCAATCAATCTGGTTGAATAATATGATTCAATATTTGAACAGGCGGATAGGCGATCGCGTTACCCTGGTATAAATACTAGATATATATAATCATGATCTCCATTACATTCTATCAAAATCCAATGCTAAACAAAGGCCTCCCCATATCTCCATGGGCCATGGGACATTTTGCCATAGTCGCCACGCTTGGCAGGCGGGTTGGCAACCGCAGTTTTTATTATTTTGAGTGTTAACAAAATTATGATGCTAGCCATGTCGTTTCAATTTCCCTCTGTCGATACTACGACGATATTCACGGGATGTTATGGTGTAGTGGATTCTCTTACGCGACCGCCGCCGCCTCTACGCGGCGAACGTATGCAATGGTAATAACGCTAAATATTCTGTTCAAAGTGTCATGTAAAGGAAAGGGTAACTAATCATTACTCGACTACGCCACGCACGTCTACTACACTACGCTCGGCACTAACTCCTAAGTAGTTAGTGCCCTCCGAGCGGATCGTTCGGAGTATATGATAAATAAACGCTCTTGGCGTGGTTGTATGGTGCACACCTCGCCAAATGTTCGCCATGAAGGCTTGGTTACTATGAGGCTGATATGTCATCAAAGTTAGCATTTTTATTAAAACTGCGCCCCTTAGCTTTAACTGTACCTTGTACTGAAAACAGTAGAAAGGCACACATATTTATTTATTTATTTAAACAAAAGGCGGACTTATTGCTAAATGCATTCTCTGCCAGTCAACCTTAAGGCAGTGATATAACTACGAAGGCGGTTACAAAGAAATATACATACGCACATACATATACATATTATACATACATATACATATATACATACATATACACATACATACAGACATACATATATACATATATCAATATACACAAGTATATAAATTTATATATTATAAGAAAATATAATATAACGGACGGAACTTGCAGTTGTAAAGCAGTTAAATAGTACATATTATTATACACTTTTTATAATGAAGGAAATATAAATCTATAATATAAAAATGAATCGCTGAATGTGTTGCTAAGCGCAAATCTCGAGAGCAGCTGAACCGATTTCGCTAATTCTTTTTTTATAATATTCCTTGAAGTACGAAGACGGTTCTTACGGAGAGAAAAATTAAAAAAATTGTCTGAAAAAGTCTAAAACCAACAAACAACTTTTTTATATTCCCATACAAAAGATTCTTAATAATACTTAAAAGTCAATTAGAACTTTAATACCATACCATAAAGTTTAAGTCTTAGTGGAGGGGTTCCGGGATGGCAAAACAATTGAGTGACATTAGTATCGTATAAATATTAATGTCAATATTTGTCAATATTTATAAGATGGTAACATTACTCAAAAACAAAATTAGGGTTCCGTGCAAAATAATTGATATCCATGAAATCGTAGTAAATTCCACGCGGGCGAAGTCGCGGGGCACAGCTAGTTTACGATAAATTTAAACTTTCTATTTATGATAAATAGTGTGATAAATGTTTTTTAAGCGTTTGATTATTAATTTTTTTTATTTAACTTTGCAGCCAAGAAACAAAATGGCTCGGCGGTGCGCACGAACAGTCTGGGCTCGGGCGCACGGACGCCACCAGCGGAGCGAACAAAGTCCAAATTTTCTGCCTTCGGCAGACTTTTCAAACCCTGGAAGTGGAAGCGGAAAAAGAAGTCCGAAAAATTTGAAGCAGCTTCTAGAAGTGAGTAGCAATTCTATTCAATAAATTAAGAAATATGCCGATGTTTTTTCATAAACATTAAATAGATATAAAATAAAATTCACGTCGGTCTTCCTTCATTAAAACAATGTTTATTATATTTCTAAAAGAAAACTACAGTACTGTTACAAATTGTTTAAAAGTATCGTTTTATTACTACAATAAGTATTTAAGTTTTTATATGGTGTCTAATTAAACTTATTAAGTAATCGTAGAGGTAAGTGAATGTATTTCTAGCATTTTTGTGAACATAAAAAAAGTGAAATTTGGTTTGATCGTTTTTTCTTGAAGGCTTATTTTTTGCTTTTGTTCCGTAATTAATGCTGAAAGGCATTACAAATTTAGGTAGTTGTTTCCACGAAACATTACAATATTTCTAAAATGTATGCTTTTATATACGCGGTAGAGCCATGCTGCAGTTATAGTTGTAAGCACGAATGCGTCGGACCGACCAGCGAAGGATCACGCTCTCACAGAATACTAGCGTAAAATAGCAGCTTATTGCTGCTGTGTTTCGTATGATAAGCATAGAAAACCAGAGACTTTCGAGATCAGGACACGAGGAATTCCATCTAAGTCAATCAGTTGGGCTATGTCGGTTTCTCTGATTCTATTGAGGATATCCTCATTTCTTAGTTTATCACGCATAAAAACTCCGAGCGTAGCCATCTCCATAGCTCGCTGAGCGACCTTGAGCTTCGTCATACGGCTAGTAATGAAGGATCCCATCAGAGATCCATAAGCCATCACTGGCAACACACACTGGTTATACAATTTCGTTTTCAAGTTTTGACCTGACGAGAAAATGTGTCGTTATGTCCCCCGAACGAAACCCAGCCGAGTAAAATCCGTCGATTTTCGAAGATCGTTGTTGGACTTACCTAGTCGGACTATTTGTCCTCGTTAACAAATTCGAGCTTAGTGGTCCTAACAACTACCGGCATAGGTGTGATATGGACGTTACACATAATCTATGTTTTGTCCATGTTCATCTTAAGACCTATCCGTTGGGAGACACTATTGAGGTCATTGAACATAGTGTTTAGGTCCTCCAGCGATTCTGCCATAAGGAATATATCGTCGGCAAATCGAAGGTGAGTGATGCTCGCCATTGATGTTAATACCGCATCCTTTCCAGTTCAGTAGCTTCAAACGTCTTTCAATGCAGTGGTGAAGAGTTTCGGGGATATAACGTCATCCTTTCTTACACCTCTCTTCAGTTGGATAGGTTTCGTACTCTGATTCTGTACTCGGATAGCCATCGTAGCCCTACTGTACAAACACTTCAGCACTCCGATATACCTACCGACAGTCAACTTGGCACCGCATGTTCTAATGAAGACCTGTCCGTGGGGAGACACTATTGAGATCATTGAGCATTCCAACGATTCTGCCATAAAAACTATATCGTTGGCAAATCAAAGGTGAGTGATGTACTCCATTGATGTCATAACCAGTTGCAACAGCAGGTTTGTAGTAGTATGCAAAACCAATTGTTTAGACCATCGGTCAGCAACAGGCGGACCGCGGTCCGTTTGCGGACCGCGAATGGTCGAACCTCGAACCGCCAAATATTGTAATGTATTGCATACCAAGTATAAATTAATACGTAGATAAGGTATACTTTACCTTTATTAATTAAAATCATATTTTTAAGCCACATAGAATTTAACTTAGTACCTGGTTAACCTGTTTTGTAACCTGTAACCTACAACTGATATGGTTTGATTAGTTTCCTATCTAGCGATTTGTGCGAATTAGTTGTAACTGATGTGATTTAAATATTTTTAAATCTTTGTTACACACACAAAACATCCATACATTGAATTACGTACCATTTTTACGGAAATATGTGCGAGAGCGTTTCACAGCGTCCCGCGTGCTTACCTTACTGCGGCGCGCTTGCGTTGCGACTGTTTTGTTTTGTTGAAACAAGCGCCAGCGAGTATCAAAATCGGGGGCCCGGGCGTGTGGGCGGGGGAAAGCAGATTGCTAGTCGCCAGTCGTTCAGTCGCAGCGCAAACCGCGGAGCAACGGTTTATTTGTTTTGTGATTTGTTGCGTTTTTGTAACATTTTCGTACCTACGCTAATATGGATCCTAAAAAGCGTAAAGTGGACAGTGAAAATAGGAGGTTTCTGGCAGAATGGACTGAACAATATTGTTTTACGCTGCCTGATAGGCCTCAAGCGGTTCCAGTGTGCCTTATATGTAATAAAACTGTCGCTATTGTTAAAATTGGTAATTTGAAGCGACACTACGAAACAACTCATCAGCATTTTCACAACTTTCCTCTTGGCAGTGAGGCTCGTAAAGAAAAACTTCAGGCATATCTCAGTTCTTACAAAAAAAGCACGAAATTACTAGTTCGTTGCATGAGTGAGCAAGAAAAATCTACAGAAGCAGCGTTATGTGTATACTGGACACTTAATAAACACCAGAAACCATTTTCAGATTCTGAGATAGTAAAGGAATGTATGTTAGAAGTAGTCAAGGCACATTTTGAAGAAAAAAAAGATGTCGCTGTAATTCAAAGTATTCCATTATCAGCGAGAAGTAATACACGAAGAACGGAAATTTTAGCTGCTGATATTAAAAACACTCTTTTTGAACTTCTGCAAAAGGCACCTTGCTACGTCATAGCACTTAATGAATCATGTGACATTGTTGATGATGAACAAATGTCTATTTTCGTAAGTCTAATGTCGATTTTTAGGGAAGAGTTGCTAGCAGTATTGCCGTTGAAAGGTAACACTCGAGGAAAAGAGTTATTCAAGGTCATTGATGAATTGATTACTAAATCTAACATTAGTTATGATAAAATGGTGTCGCTTTCAACTGACGGGGCCCCAGCAATGATTGGCAAAGAAAAAGGTTTAGTAAAGAGAATCAGGGATAAAAACTTAGGTCTAATATCGTATCAGTGTATAATTCACCAGGCAGTCCTTTGTGGAAAACTTAGTCCTACACTGAAAGAAGTGATGGACAGCTTGGTCAAGTTGATTAATTTTATGAGATCTCATTCTGCTCTTCAGCACCGTTATTTCTAGGAGTTTCTTTCTGAATGTGATTCAGCGTATTCTGATTTACTGCAACACAACAACGTTCGTTGGCTAAGTAAAGGTCAAGTTATTGAACGTTTCTGGCTAATAAAAGAACATGTAACCTCCTTCTTGCAAAACTTAGATACTCAGGGAGCCAGAAAGCACTTTGAGTTCATAAAAAGCAAGCGCAATATGCTGATTGTGGCTTTTCTAAAAGATATTTTGAAATATTTAAATGCGCTCAACACAGAGTTACAAGGAAATGGAAAAAGTAATATGTGATCTGATACAAAGCGTGTCTGCTTTTCGTCGCAAGCTGGATATCTATGAAAAAGATATTGCAAGACAAGAATTTATTCATTTTCCGACAATTCTTGAATATAAAAAGGAGAACTCTGTAGAAGACATTGCAATGTTTGTAAAATTTCTGGCCGATCTTAAGAACGAATTTGCTACAAGATTCCAAGACTTTGCAGAGGTGAGCAAGCTATCTCCGTTTCTTAAATCGCAATTTGAAGTTGATGTAGCAGCAGAATGGACAGATGTGGCTGCCAAGTTGTTTAATCTGTCAAAACCATCACTTCAAATGGAGATAATTGATTTGCAAGAAGATTTGTCTTTGCAAATGTACAAAACGGTATCCACTGAAGAATTTTGGACCAACCATGTCCCAGAAAAATATGAAAATTGCAAGAAACTAGCTATAAATTTAGCCACTATGTTTGGCTCGACATACGTATGTGAAACATCTTTCTCAAAGATGCATTTATTGAAAAACAAATATCGTTCGAGATTAACGGACGCCCATCTAGAAGACACACTTCGAATTTGCTGTTCCTCTCGAGAACCAAACTATAAAAAACTGGCTCAAGACCTGTGTTGTTTCTCACATTAATTTTACGTCTTGTGTTTTATAATTCAGAATTTGATTTGACACTAAAATAATACATAGTAATTAATTATTATCAGTTGTTTTTTTCTGGACCTTGTTAAAATTTTCCCACAGTATCCGGACCTCACCTAAAACTACATGCCGACCCTTGGTTTAGACCGATGTTTTTTTAACTTTATTACAAGCAAAAAAACATAAACGACACATATTTATAGGAATAATATCTCCTGATAAACTACCTACTTCAGGAATCTGAGGAATTTCAGGGATTCCTTCTTGCTTCTCTACCAAAGTAAAAAAACATTAAAATATTTGATATAACCGTTATCAAGGATAGATGTTCTTTTGTTATGAGTAAAATAAAAATCAGATAGGGGTCCTTTCTCCAAACAAAAATAGAAAAATAGACTGGATTAGAGCGAGCGCTATAGTACGCGCTTATGGACGTCACTGAGGTTTGTTGTCTGCCTGGGTGATAGGACCTCAATAATATTATCAACAACATGTATAAATTGCAGCTTTATTGAAATAACGTAACTTATAAACAAAAAATTGCACTTGTCAACTTGTCATGTTATTTTTCGGTAACTTTTATTGAATATTTCAAGATATCAAAGTGGCAGACTTATTACTTTCATGTTTTTTTCGGTCAGTTTTTACACCTTTCACACCTGAGCGTCTCCATATCAACCGCCGGTCAATCTAAAGAGTCCCCATTTCATGTACCGCAAGTATAGGGGATTAACTAATACTGTAAGTCTACCTCTCACTGGTTCTTAGACCAAAATAGGAAGCCTTATATTAATTATCACTTTAAATTGTCTATCACTGAGAACGAAGAATTACCGAATTAGAGCTAGACCTTATAAAATTAAAACGTGATATAATAGGTTTAAGTGAAGTAAGAAGGTTATGAATGCGTTGAATATGAAAATGATAAGCTTCTATTTTAAAAAGGTGAAGAAAGGAAGCTATAGCGTAGACTTCATAGTTAATTAATAGATAGATGAATATGGGCATACAAGAGAGAATAGCTGTCCTTAACAAGCATCTGCCAGGTTACAAAAAATAATTGTTAATTAATGAAATATATGTACCTAATGAACCATAGGAAAATGGGTCAAATATCTTTTCATTAGTTGGTCATAGAAATACTCGCACAAATGTTATGGTTATGGGATATTTTAATAAAAGAATGGGCTCTCGGCAACCTTAGTTTCGGGAAAAGAAACAAAAGAAGGAGAAATATATAGAAATAGATGATTAAAATGGTCATTTCTTTAATGTTGCATACAAAAATAGTTTGAAAAAGTGAACCTGGATATCTCCAGATGAATCACATAGAAACGAAATCGATTGCATAGTAACTAACAATAGAAAACCTATTCAAGATGCAAAACCAACATAACTTTTACACCAACCACCGAATTGTGGGAATAGCAATAAAGAGTATAAACCAAAAACAAATAGAAAGAAATTAAATTTAAGAACAAATAGTATTGTATAAAAACTAAATCAAGCGAAAAAGGAAAAACATAATAAAATAAAAATAACATTGAAATTTATTAAATATAACATTGACTATTTAAATAATTAACGCAGGTAGGCCTAATATCAGAAGGTCCTAATATCAGACAACGCTAAGAATTTAGCGATTAAGAATATGATCCTGAGACCCAATATTGAATGCCGTGTCTCGAATATTAGATGTCAGACCAAACAAAAAACAGCTCGCAGAAATGGTTGGAGTATCAGATACAACCATTTTCAAAATTCTTCATGAGCATCTTGGCATGACTAAAGTCAGCGCAAGATGGGTGACTAGAATGCTCACGCCGCCTCAAAAGCAACAGCGCGTGGAGTGTTCTCGTGCATTTTTGGACCTCTGTATGGAAGACAAAGATGGAGTGTTGGCTCGAATTGTTACTGGTGACGAAACTTGGGTTCACCATTATGAACCTGAGTTCAAACAGGACTCTATGCAGTGGCACAGAAAAGGTACCTACACCACCACCCAAGAAATTTAAGGTGGCACAATCGGCTGGGAAAATCATGGCGACAGTCTTTTGGGACTCAGAAGAAATCCTATTGATTAATTATAAAGAGGTCTCCATAACCGGAAATTACTACGCTTTAATCCTAGAACAATTGAAGGAAGCCATAAAGGGGAAAAGGAGGGGAAAATTGACCAAAGGAATCCTTCTTCTGTACGACAACGCGCCTTTTCACATTTGCCATGTTGTGATGGCTGCCCTGCAGAAGGTGGGCTTCGAAATTTTGCCACATCCACCCTATAGTCCCGACCTGGCCACCAGTGATTATTATCTATTACCAAACTTAAAAAAAGGACTTCGTGGGAAAAAGTTTTTAAGCGATGAAGAAGTGAAGGAAGCAGTTTCGGCTTATTTTTTAGACAAAGACAAATCATTTTTTTTGAGGGTATACATAAGTTAATTGAAAGATCCTAAAAATTTATTAGGGTAGCAGGTGAATATATTGAAAAGGTAAAATAAATTTGGATTTTTATTTCCACTCCTTACCTCCCATTCCGCGAACTTAAAAACGCACCCTCGTAATATGCTGCATAAAGCAGGCCGTGGCTCGCAAAAAAGAAAACGTGTTTGCAGATTTAAAACAGATTAAACAGATGAAATGATTGTGGAAGAGATGCAACACAAAAAGATGAGAGAGATGCACAACAAAGTTTTTCTAAAAACCGATACAGATCAGCATAATTTATACCTATGTATTATGACAAATGTTGCGGCGTGTAGCGTAGTGGCGGTAAAATAATATTCCCTACTCCATATTGCATCGTAAATCTCGTAAGAGGCGACGGAAGGAAACTGAAACAAAAGATTTGCCACAGCATCTTCCTGATAATAACTCAAAATAAAAAAAAACTGCGGCTGCCAACCTCTCTATGAGCCAATCTGTGGGAGAGGCCTTTGTTCAGGTATAACAGAAACAGAAACAGAATTGTACATATGTGAGTGACTGCCACTATTGTACGACGGCAAGTTAGTTCAGTGAAGCATTTGGCTACTCCCGCGGGCCCAAGGTGCTGAAGTTCGAAACCCTCACGGAACAAGTGATTGTCTAGTCTGCAAATATTTGTTCCGTGAGCGGTTGTTTACGAGTCGAAGTTACAGCTTATATACGTCCCACTGCAAAGCACAGTCCCCTACCGTTTCTGAGAGGGTTATGGAGAAATTAGTCCTCCGCGATGCTCCAGTGCGTATGTGCGGACTTCACGTGTCCTTGTAACGTTTTTTTGCAATTTTTAGGGTTCCGAAGTAAATGTAAATAACGAGGGACCTTTATAGTTCCGCCATGTCAGTCCGTCCGCGGTGTTACTTAGAGACCCTAGGTGCTTCAAAGCTGTAATTTGAAAAACATTTTTATTTTGGGTACCTCCCATTCATGTGATTTTCTTTGGAACGAAGTTCTTTATCGGACGGCACGGGTTTGGCGGATGGGAGATAGGCGACAAAAAGTGTAAGATTTTTTCGTCACTACCCCTTGTTATAGTGTAGACGGCCTTGGTGGCGAAATAATGAAGTGAGACGGAATAATAATATCCATCTCCCCCGCACTTTTTCTTACCTGCCATGAAAGAAATATTATTTTATTGTAAATGACGCTTCATTTTAATAGACGCTAGTAATTAATTTATTTGTATTTGTTAATCAATAATATAATACAAGTGGTAAAGTTAAAAAATTTGTACAACCGACCTCAATATAAATATAATTTAGTGTTGAATTTTTTAAAACCGCTCGGCTAATTTCGATAAAATTTAAACGGGACCACCTGGGAAGTATTATACCCATGAAACAAAAAAAAATTGATTCCGACGAATTGTAAACCTCTGCTGTTTTTTGAAGTCGGATGAAAATGACCTAAAACTAGCTGCATTATAACCTTGTATTGAGCGCCTGTCAAGCCTTATGTGTATGGTATCCCTCCTATTATAATGGGAAAGATACATATCACTATTTTCGGCTGATAATGAGGGAGGAGAACAAGATAGAAGGGCATCATATGCAAATAAATAGAATAAATAAATAACTCTTAAAATTAATTACTGACATTTTGTTTTTGTTACAGCGTTAGAAAGGAAGATATCCGTCCGAGCAAATAGAGATGAGTTAGTGCAAAAGGGAATACTCTTGCCCGAGAGTCCCGTGACTCCTGTTCCTGAAGCGAGTAAGAACTTTTTTATTCTATACGGTTTCCATATTTTTTGTTTATGTACTTTATAAACAAAAAAACTGTAATGTTAAGAAAAGGTTTTAGAAAATTATGTACTCGTAATTGTCATTAAAACACTTGATATTATAATTATTAATTGCCAAAAACACTAAAATTGTGTTTAATTTGGCATTTATTTTATTTATTTATTTATTCTTTATTGCACCAAATATAAATATTTGTACAAAAGGCGAGCTTAATGCTATATGGCATTCTCTACCAGTTAACGTTGGGTAGAACAGAGAGTGAGTTTGGGCAGTTAAGTTGTCATGATATAATTCAGTTCAAATATATAGATGCAACACATACATAAAATATACACATATATATAAAATATATATAATTCATATACATACATAAATAAATACACCCATGAATACATATATATCTCAATAAATGTATATATATATAAATAACTATTATCTCGTCTACGTAATTTTTTTTACATACGTGTTGTCATAATAGCAGCAAAATTATTATTTTCTAATACCGTTACTTTTAGGAAGCAATTCAAAAGATTACAGGAAAAGAAAAGAATATTACTCGTATTATACAACATTTTCATCGAGTCAATTATAAACCTACGTCTTGTCGCTATTTTTTTTTTCTATTACTAAGCTCGTAGTTGTGAACGCTAGTTTTTATTTTACAAAAAAAAAAGTTAATAGCCCAACTGCGGTGTCTTAGACTTAAGTTTTATTTCAAATACAAGTTATGTATATTCGGAGTGTACTCAATAGGTACTCATTAATACCTTTCATGTCAGCCATATTTATACTATTTTGACTAGGGATGAATGCGATACCCATACCGATTCCGATATATCGGCGATAATCAAAGTTAGTCGATATATCGGCGATATTTTTATGGCCGATTCAACGATACTTTTCAAATTTCGTGCTTTAAAAATGTAATGTAAACGCACGTGTTGTCTCGTCTATTTCGTTGCAAATTTCGAGGCACGAACTAACTATACTCGGGGAAACCTCGCGCTTATTCAGTGTCTTGTTTAGCTACAATGCATGATCCCAGTTACAAAGCACGAATATTTCATTCAAGTCTATCACTATGGCAAAAAAGCGTCTTGTTCAGTTACTTGATCTTAATGTAGCACTGTATTCCGAAACTATTTCAGACACGCTCAAACTTACATCTAGTACTGTAACTGTAAGTTCTGAGATGCCTACCAGTGCAGTGGCGGGCTTTGGAACGTTTGTGAAATTATTATTAGAGAGTCCGAGGAAGATGAGCCCCTGTCTACTCTGAGCTGTAATTCTCTCAAAGAAGAAGTCGAGAGATACCTAAGGTCACCTAATATATTGAGACGTCTTAATATATTGAGATCACATCTTATACCCAAACTTGAAAATAATGGCGCAGAAGTACTTTAGTTTCCAAATGAGTTCTGTTGCATCTGAGAGACTATTTTCCACCGCAGGTCTTATTCAAACAGATTGCGAAATCGCCTTTCTCCGCAAAACTTAAGAATACTTTGTTTCTAAACTAACTACAAATTACTAAAACTATTAAATAATCTCAACCTGTCTATAGTTTTAAACAGTTTTATTTAGTTTGTCCTGTTATTTGTTCTTTTTATATTAATTAAAAAAATAACCTTCATTTTTTAATTGAATTAGCGTATCGAAATTTTTATAAGAGTATCGGTATCGGTATTGTATCGGCAAAAAGGCGTATGGAGGCATTCATAATTTTGACGTTATATTATCATATGTTATTCTGTTTAATATGGGCCGATTTTTAATATTCAGATAAAAGTTATCCATCAAATAAATTTTAACCTGATCAAATATGAAAGTGAACCAGTTGAAATATTTTATTCATACAACTGTCATTTAAAACTGTCTTAAGTTGTATTTTACTCTATGAATAACTTAAAGCTGATGATTGAAAAATCGGCCCTAGGACAAATTTATTGAGATATCAGGCATTCCATCTTAGTCCTCACGGGTGACAACGCATCTGCATTTTGATTTTTTATTGACGATAGATGTAGACATCTACCTCATGGGATGGCACGAACATGGGTCACAGCAACCACTTACTATCAGGTGGACTGTGTGCTCGTTTATCTATCTTACCCTATAAAATAAAAATAAAACTATTAGTAAATGCAATTCTGCATGCCTTAAGCGTTTAAATTTTTTAAAGTAGTTTAAATACACACACGTTTTCACTAATAACCTTATTAGATATTATACTTAAAATTTTCAGATAATTTTGTCAGACTTAAATTATAAAAAAAATTAAAATCCAAAAGTGTATGACTCATAATGCTCAGACGATCATCGTATTTGTAGGCCATACAACTACTACTATTCAGGTCACTCCATAACGTCAAAGACGTATTTAAGTATATTTATATGTAAATCCTACTTACTTTTAGTATGTAGTACTATTATTTATTCTGTGCTTTTAAAATATTGTAATAAAAATCTGTAATTATAATAATAATCAAGGATGTATCAAAATTAGTTTTTCGAACATTTTGTATTTGTACAGCAATCTTTTTGAGCACGAGCCAAGCCAAGCGAGTGAGGTAGTCTTTAGTAAAATAAGTTATTACAAGGCTGCTCAAAACACCGAAAATTTCGCGGTTTCACGGCGGAAAAAAATTCACTTCACTGCAATCGGGTAAAAAGTTTGTTGCTGTTGTAATCAAACCTTAAATTTAACCGAACTGTAAATAGATAGAGAATTTTTGCCACTGAATAATTGGGTAACTATATATAACAGACAAAAAATTAACTACGAACCTCCCGAAAGTATATAATTAATCATTATGTAATTAATTAGTAATCAAATGACGGCTCCGTGGCGCAGTGGCTTAGCAATGAGTTGCTTTGCCGGGGGGCGCGGGTTCGAATCCCGCACGGAACAAGTATTTGTATGGCCTACAAATAATTGTTTCGGGTCTGGATGTTTGTCCTTGTGCAATTTGATTTTGTAAACTGCCTCCACGATACAGGAGAAAATCCTAGTGTGGGGGTAACGTTTTTTTTAAATGTGTATTTGTATGTTAAAAATAAAAGTCAACCAGGTATAAAGTATCTTAAGAAATTTTCTTCACTTAATTTTTAACGGACCATCGTGTCGAATAGAAATTGAAAGAAAACAAGATGAAGTTGAGTAGACGGCGTCTGTAAACATAGACAAGAGCTGTTGAGGGCAAAGACTTTGGCTTTGCTGTTATGACCTATTTTACGTGTATTATGTACGCGAGTAATTGTAGAGAATCGAGTTTATATAATATAAACGATAGTAAAACGAAGGGACAGTTTCCAATCAGTGGGATTTTGCAGAGTAATTTTATAAATAAATACAGTATTCGCGGATCCTTTAGGTTGTTAAAAAAGTTTTAATAGTAAAAACTCGAAAGATATATATTTACTAAGTGGTAAGACTCCTTTTCTGCCTATATTAGTCTATGGCGTGTATGTCTAGGCAAAGAAGCGTTTGTTTTATATTTTATATGTTATTTAGTATTTGATATATTAATGTGCAGTTGAAAGTGAAATATCCCTTGCTTAATATACAAACCTAAAAGTTTAATGAATTACGGTCGAATTCTGACCACCAATTGTATAAGAAACAGCACAGTAGCGAACTCCTCTATCACTGGGGTTATTTTAATTCATGTATTCCTTGTTATTATAATCCCAACAAAAACATTATACGTGATAGAGCCATGCTGCAGCTATATTTCTGGTATAGTTGTAACACGAATGGGTTGGCTCGACCGGGGAAGGACCACGCTCTCACAGAATACCAGTGTAAAATAGCAGCTTAATGCTGCTGTGTTTCGTATGGTGAGTGTAGAGAACCGGAGACCCTTTTTACTAGAAACGCATCTGAATTTTGATTCGTAATCGAAGATAAATGTAGATGTCTATGGGCCACAGCAACCACTTACCATCAGGTGGACTGTGTGCCCGTTTGTCACCCTTATCCTATATATAAAAAAAAAACAAATGTGCAAAGGAGGTCTAGATCAGAATGGGCGCTGGGCTCCACAGCATCTATAGCAATGTACAATGTACTTGGAACTGCTTTGGAGCTTGATGCCCTTTTAGATTTCGATACTTATCAGGGAAGCTGATAACCCTGAATATAGTTTGTACTAAACTTGGCCCCCTATTCACATTTATGTTTTTAATGAGATATTATTAGTTTTTGAAAAAATAAAGTCTTATCCTCATATTGAAATGAACTTTGGCAGTTTTGAAATTTTTACTTTGTATAAAAGGAAAAATTATCGATACTCGGTGCCTATAGAAGTTGACAAAGTCATTGGTCCGGTCAAGTACCTACATTATTTGAAAGTAACAGCTAACTTTGCCCACATTTTATCCATATAGTTTAAATGAAATATACGTTAGACATACACGCCACAGACTATTGAAAAAAAAAGGAAATTATAAAGTGACTCAAAATTAAGTAGTTTGTTGGCAACATTATAAAATTCTTTGGTTACAATCTCTACTCTGTGCGACAGTTTGACCACAGACTGTTATGGGTTTTACATGAACGTAAACAATGAATGTGTTATTTTATTTACGTATAAGTAACATATTATTTGATTTATAAATTATAGCTTTCTGCACTGCTTTACTATATAAACTATGTCAAATCTCACACTCCTCCGTGCGCGGAATATGCTTCAAAACTATATACTACATAACTCTATCGTACGTGGTAGAGCCATGCTGCAGCTATATTTCTGGTATAGTTGTAACACGAATGTAGTATTCCCCACATGGAGTATTCCCTGCACTTATTAATATATATAGAAGAATGTTATGTTTAAAAATTTTGCTATAGTATATTATTTTTCTGTTGCTGACCAAACACCTCTTTCAGTTATCCCTGTGCCTCTTACGATACTTACGTGATTATATGGGATATAGGGTATTCTTACGTCCCCACTCCACAGCAGCTTGTGGTATAAAATATTATAAAAAATTAAATTTTTAGCTTGTATTATATAATGTCATCAGGTTATTCATAATTAATTAACTTATGACCTATATTTTTACGTGGTACAGCCAAGCTTTACACTAACTGTACAGCAGCTTTATTATAGTTGTATCACGAATGGGTCGGTTCGACCAGGGAAAGACCACGCTCTTACAGAATACCAGCGTAAAATAGCAGCTTAATGCTGCTGTGTTTCGTCCACTTACCTTTAGGTAGACTGTGTGCTCGTTTGTCACCCTTATACCATAAAAAATTACTATCATACGTTGCCAAGTTATAATTTGAATATCAAAGAATTAAAAAAAAGTTTCAAAATTCATTAATTTTAGAATATTTTAAATCCCTTAATATAAATCTTATAGTCCAGTCAAATAAAATCTGAAATCAAAATGTTGACACTCAACTTTGCATTTTTGATATAATGTAGTGTTAACGATACAAAACCAATGTGTAAAGGTTTTCGTGTCCGGAACCCCCGGCAAGGGCTAAAAAAAATGTCAAAAGTGTTCTTTCACAATTACTCGAAAACGGTAAAAATTAGACAAAAAAGTTTTGATAAAAATATGTAGAGCTTAAAATTTTACATAAAAAAAGGTTAAATATTTTTTTCCCTCCGCTCAAATTTAACCGAGTTAAAGAGGTATTAAGTTGAAGGGATGAATGTAAATTTTAAAAAATCGGAGGGAGTAGAAAAATAAGCCATATGTTTTATCGCTTATTTTTCTACTCTCTAATTAAAAGTTTAGAGATACAATTTTTTTTATTGTTAAAATAATATAATAATTTGAAATTTTCCAATTGAAATTTCAATGCTTAAAAATTAAGGAATTATTTTTTTTCCATATCTAGATGCCTCGTAAAATTTCCTAAATTAACGATTGAAAAAAAATACCTAGTATATTTTGGCAGGTGTGAATTTATACAGGTATAAACTCTATAAACTCTCTTTCAAATCCTACGCCGTTGTATTAAGTCCCGAGTTAAAAAAAGAGGATAATCCCATTGTCACTTCAGTTTACTAGTAGGTTGGGCTATGTCCGTTACTCTGGTTCTAATGCAGATATTCTCATTTCTAAGTTTATCACGCAGAAAAACCTGAGCATAGCCATCTCCATAGCTCGCTGAGTGACCTTAAGCTTCCTCATGCGGCCAGCTGTGAAGGACCACATTTCAAATCCAAATGTCATCACTGTGGTAACAACACAACATAAGTAGTAATACTCACTGGTTGTACAATCTTGTTTTCAAGTTTTGAGGTAAACGTGAAAGTCCGTATTAAGGTGATAAATTTGTGCAGACGAGGAGTCATCGCCCGCGTATGGCGAGGAGGCGCGTGGGGACGCTGGGAGCGGCATGGGTGGAGTTAGCGTAGGAGGCTTGCACGCGGCGCTGCAGGCGCAGCTTGCCTCGCAGCTAGCGCAACAGGCGCAGCAGGCGCAGCAGGCCGCGCTGGCCGCCGCTGTCGCCGCCGCCGCTGCCGCTCACCACCACCATCAGAACAACAATGTTATTGGTATGTCAAAAACACATTATCTTCTTTATTTTTAATACATAAAAATATTTTTTTGTGTGTTCGTATTTTATGCACAGCTATACCGTTCATCGGATTGCCGTAAAACTTCGTCAATTTATTGCTTGCACTTGTGTGAAGGTTATAGGCACAGTACAATTAACTTACAGTAGGCAGCGTGCGTATCGTACCGAAAAAAATATTTGAAAGTTATATATTATTCATTTTATAGTATTATTTATCATTACCAATTAAACAATATAATCCTCCATACAAAAACAGTTTTAGCACTGCTATAAACGTAAACTAATGTTACTGTTAACCGTTCTAATCAATCGCTAAACATTTTTGTTCGGATTGGAATTTAATTGTTCAGCAAAAATGTCGTTTATTTCATTATATTTTTTATAATAATACTAACGATCCACCCTGGCTTCTCGCATGGGTGATTTCTGAATCGCGACAATAGCTCCTGGTGCGGTCCAATTGTGAATCTAAACCATTCTCGAATGAAATGAATCACACACACAAAATTTCATCAAAATAGGTCCAGCCGTTTAGGAGGAGTTGAGTCATACACACGGACAGAAGAATTATATAACGTACAAAAATTTTATGTTAATTCTTAAAAGTTTACTTGACTGTTCGCACCTTGTTAACGTTCTTCTAGGCCATAAATGTTTCTTTTACGAGTACCTTATGCTAGATGCATTTTATGAATTCATGAATGACATGGAAATATTTTGTTACCTATTCTTTTAAGACTTTTCGTACGATAATCTTTTATGGCGTTGAGTAAGAAAAATCATATGTTAGAGCCATGCTAGAGCCACGCTGCAGCTATTTATTATGGTTGTAGCACGAATGGGTCGGCTCGACCGGGGAAGGACCACGCTCTTACAGAATACCAGCCTAAAATAGCAGCTTAACGCTGCTGTGTTTTGTATGGTGAGTGTGAGATTCCAGTAATAAGGGTCTCCGATGAGAGAACCGGAGACCCTTATTACTGGAAACGAGACATTCCATCTTAGTCCTCACGGGTGACAACTCATCTGCATTTTGATTTTTAATCAAGGATAGATGTAGATAGATATCTGTGGGCCACAGCATCCACTTACCGCAGGTGGACTGTGTGCTTTCTTGTCATCCTTATTGTATACAAGAATAAACTTATTTTGTGATAAAATGGTCTTAACAGGAGGAGGAATCTATCAGCAGCGTATCCAAATTTTATGAGTATTTTTTATGCTGTTCTATATAGTTTATTGTTACTTGAGTAGCTTAATATTTTTCGTCAGTTTTAACAGGAGAATCGTAGTTTTTTTTAAATTTATTTATTTATATTCTGGTATAATACACTTTGTGACAGTAAAATTTAATATTATTATTATTATTCTGTGTGTTCCTATTATTCCTAATCCTAGTAGCTCCTATTATTATATAATCTGCCTGCTAAACTCATTTCCTCCATTTTTTTTGATGAAGATTTAAATATTATTACCCCTTATTTTCTTTTATTAGTCGTTGAATACAATGTTGTATATCAGTGGTCTTTCTAAAAATGATTCACAACTCTGACAGCAGTATAACTGGATTTAGTGTTTAAATATTTAAATGAAATGAGTGGTGTCCCTAAGAAAATACCGCATTTGTCAAAAACATGTAGCAGTAACATCTCATGTCTAAGAAATTTCCTATACCTCCTATCAACTAGCTGAGAAATATGAAGATATAGTTATTTCAATAAAATTCCTAAAATGTCTTTAGGCAAATGTCCGAAGCATTTGTATCATTTGAAAAACTCACCGAACTACAGTGAGTTATACAATATATTTCCCCGATTTATCACGATTATTCATCTTAAGTACTTTCAACATCATGGATGAAATCAGACTTTCAAGCGAAACAATTGCAACTGCCAGGTTGTACACACCTATTACAATAACAGAACAAAGGGCAGCGGTAATGGGATATCAATTGTTAGTCACAATAACTTTAAACATAATTTTATCGAACAAGTGGTAAAATTAAAAATTTTGTACAACCGACTTAATATGTAATATATACATAGATTACTAGCTGACCAGGCAGACGTTGTCCTGCCCTTTTCGACGACCCTTCATATAAAAAATCCTTAAATTCGTTATAATAAAATATTGAGTGTCACTTATCAGGATAAAAACTATCCTATCTCGCAAGTTGGACCAAACTGCATAGAGTGTGCAAATTTCATTGCAATCAGTTCAGTAGTTTAGGAGTTCATCGCCGACAAATAACGTGACACCTAATTTATATATTTATATATATATATATATATATATATATATATATATATATATATATATATATATATATATATTATCCTTTTTGAAGTCAGTAGAAAAAACAGGAAGTTAACTACGATATACTGATTAGCTATACTATTTTAAACAACATTCATGAAAACTGCTACTAGACTAAACTACCTACTAGCAAGACTATACTAGATAATGTGTGTACTAATGTAATTTGAAACGCAACTATTTTCATCTGGCAGTCGTACAATCGACAATGTCTAACAAAAACATACCATTGAATCATGGTTATAACTACCATAACAATGAATGCAACGCGTAACAAGATGTAACGAACCCCCCCCCCCATCTTTTTTCTCTTCTACTATATATCCACTTATACTTGTATTTCTTTAAAATCTATATCTGTATGATATATAAATACATCTAATTTACGTGACCAGTATAACTTGATCTTTCTAAAGGTTTAAATATAGGCCGTTTAATAAATTTATGGCGTGATCGTCTTAGTTAGGACCCTTTTTACGTTGTGTTTGTATAGTAACTTAGTTCTTTTAGGTGTATCTTGGAAGAATGAATATTCACGAGAGCAATCGAAAGCTGTTGGTAGAGTCTTATAAGCTAAAGAACCCCGTTCACGAAGACAGAGCTCAAAAAGGTTAAGAACAATAAATTGTCCCTATTCCACTTGTATCTGGTTCACAACAGTCAATTCCTTATTAATTAATCCCTTCCCGCTTGGAAAAGGCTCACAATATTTATATCAAATACCAGCTACAAGGGCTTCGCTCTCCCACATTTTAAAAAAATGTGGAGGAGGTACACGGCCCCACACACGCCGCGCACGGTGAGCGCCAACCATTTTAATGCGCTCCCCCCGAAGGGTACGCAAAGTTGGGAACTGGACCGTAGTCCACAGCAAAATAACTGGCGAACCAGTAAAAGAGGACTTGGCCCCTTGATAGTGCGTAAGCACAAACATCGACCGAAGTCGCGCATGTCAATGCGTGTAAACGCCATACAGAATACGATCAAATCCAGTCACAGTGAATGTACGTCACACGGGTTAGGCAACAATAGGCACACTGACCATAAAAAGCCTTCCGTGAGCGCCACCACCTGCCAGACCGCCGTTCCTGCAGACGTGATGTAAGTGTAAGGCATCACCACCAATTGCATGGTCAGCACGGCCAATTGGCCGCAGAGCGTGTCATGAGTCTACCGCTCACCTCAAGGGAATGGGGTCCCACGTTGCGCGGCTTTCGGCCGCAGCCTTGAGAGCCTCCTCAGATTCTCCCTCCAGCTACCACCCGCATGAGGTCAACACATATGCTCCACCAACCAATACAATGGCAGATATAGCCAATAGGCAGTTATAAGATAATATTAATAATTGGCCATCAGAAAGGGTTTGTGTCACTGACGTTGAGTAAATGCATTTTTCGATCATGTTTGTCTCACCCACCAACAAGTTGCCTTCAATCTCTCAAAGGTGGGAACTTTATAGAGATATATTATTAAGTTGTTATATAAAACATCATGGAGGGCAGACAGTCTGCAGCCCCGCTATGTAGGGACCCGACTTGGGCAAAGCTACTTAGGTTGTGAGTCAAACCAAGACGCAGAGAGCGCCATTGAGAATAGCGACCCGCCAAACAACCATCATAGAGACGCAGTGCTACAGAATGCAACAAGCATCAATACGACTATCGTCGGGCTTACACCATCCCAAGGTCCCCCATACAGTCCCAGCAGACATCACCCCCCGCATACCTCCATCGACCAGAACCACAAGATGCATCGAATCAGGTGCAGCACACCCGCAGATCCATCACAAGACACAATACTGCAAGTAGCAGTAAGCATCAATGCAACTATCATACGGATGGCGCCCCCTCACAACACACCCACATGATCCCTATCGACTTTGGTAACAAAATTTGATAATGTTGTTAACTAAAAATACCACCAACGTATCATAGTAGCACGGTACTAAGACGTCAGTAGCCAATACTCCACGTATCATAGCGCTATTGCACTAAGACATGAAGTTGAGTATGCTTGTTGCACTTAAAAGTACTACCAAACACACTCACCCTAATCCGAAAGATAGCCGACGTATCATAACGCTATGCGCTAAGACGCCGCCCACAACCGGTAGGGGTGTGCGATGTCCACGGGCAAGTCGTATTGCTACAACAAACCCGCTTACCACCGGCACTAAGATGATATGTCTAGGACACATCGGTTAGTGAGTCCAAGTTTACCTCGGTCTCAGAGGCTGCGAAGCAACCTACACGCCACTATAATAATCCTTTTCAAGTCCCATTTCTTTCAATATAATGCTTTTACATATTTGAGACCTTCCACATATTTGCTTTATTTCATAGACCATACTACTGTATGTCTTATTCATATGGGACTTCAAGTCATAACTCTGCTATCATAATGCTTATGCATCATAGAGACCTTCTATATTAATGCTTTGGTTCGTCAGACCTTACTATGTTAAGTCCCTAATATAGGACTAGTCATTGTGCAACCTTAGTACTAGCAGTCGGTCAGCCGACCACCCCATATATATGTACAACCTTGGGTATGTGTCTCCGACAACGCCCCAATATAAGGGAACATTACAAGAACACGTTCATTAACTTAGAAATTTTCCAATTATTACACGAACACCTTCATCAACTTAGAAAAATTTTA